CAGTGGTCTAGAAAAGGGGCCGGCAGGGCTACGAGATGCCGCCTTATTACAGGCAATTTAGATGCTATTAATAGGGGGACTGGAAGTGCTCCGCGGCCTGCAGCCGAAATGAGTGGTTGCAAAGGGCGGAGGTCACCATGTTGCTCGGTCTAATAGAACCGATTATCATGAAAATGGCGTTCTATGGGGGTGTGAACTTCGGCTTTTGTCTTGAGAAAACCCTGGCATTGCCATTCGAGAGGATCTTCTTTTTTTTGTGCTAGAAGTCAGAGGCTATTAGGTGTGTATGGAGCGTTGCTATACGGATACATGAATACATACATGCAGCCGCATCAACCTTTTGGCGCGATGCCAACGGGAAACTTTTGGCGCGATGCCAACGGGAAACTCGTCCACGGATGTTCGTCCAATGCCATGCAGAACAAAGGTTCTTCTCTGGTTTTCAGCCAAAAACTTCGCTTTTTCTCCCTTTTCTCACTTTATAGCACCTCTATGCTGTTCCTGAGGAAGTACCAAATTAAACCTTCAAAAGGAGAATAAGTGGCTACTTAATTAACTGAATGATAAAGCATTTTGCCACCACAGAAAATGAATAAATGAAAAATATAGTGATGTGAATAGTTTCCGTGTAGGCGTTTACTAGCGAGAGAGTTTAATTTTAGCACAAAATGCCAATGAGCCCCCGAAGAAACAGGAATGCAAAAAGCAGTGTGGCTAAAATCGTGTAATTCAATCCGCGACCAAGTGAACACCCCCACGGCACACCCCTCAGCAGCTAAGATGTTACCACGATTGTTGAGCTAATCAGTTTGGAAATATTTCAGTTGTCATGGCATGCAGCAGTGTTTCTTACTTAAAGGCAGCTGGCACGATAATTTGGTACTCGGCCTAAAATATTGGCGGGCGCTATATAGTGGGAAAATGGCGAAAAACGAAGTGAAACGGTCAAAAACCTGCGAAGAAAAGCCTTCGTTCTCAATGACTCAAAAAGCAATTTCGGACGAGTTTCCCGTAGGCATCTTGCCAATAACCGCTACGGTAGATACGGCTGCACGTATGTACTCATATATCCATGCAGCACCGCGGCCGCTTCATATCAATCCCTTCGCTTCATATTTTACTTCGCAAATGAAGCAATACGAGCATCAGGTACGGTCGTCCATTTGTGGGCGGGCGGGCGCGGTGGGCGTCCGGTCGGTATGTTGCAGCTTGATAGGGCCTTACAAGGGTACCTCCTTTGGAGAAGGCGCCACGCAATGCCTGCTCAGGGGCGCGGATCTCCGTCCAGCCAGACGCATTAATCCTAGGGGTGTATCATACCAGCTGCCTTTAAGTGAAATTCGAGTGATTCATTCCAATTGTCTATCATATTCACTTTTTCTGAAAATGGTCAGCTTCCTTACTTACACCTACCAACCTACCAGAACGATACTAACAATAATCCATGAACAAAGTCTACCGGAGGACAAGGAATTCATGGAACGTTGATCAGAATGTGCCAAAATGTCATTCAGCTGAGAGGGTAAAGGTGGTTCCGGTAGCGTAATGGGTAACGCAACCGCCCGGTAAGCGGGAGGTGCGGGTTTGACGCCCTTACAGGGTCCGATTTGCCCATGTCTCAGCATTTTTGCGGTAATTTTGATCAGAATTCTTTTTACGCAGTGCTTTTGCACTTTTGAGCCGTACGGAAACCAAAAGGGCACTTTCTGTCCCTGCCAACAAAAACTAGCCTCCAGACTCAAACAGCTTATGTATGCGAGCACTCTCCCATCTTCATTGCCAATACCTGATAGCCTCTCTCCCAGATGGTCACGGTTTGCGCCTCCATAAACTTGCGGGAAGGATACAGCAGGGATAGTGGAGGCGTTTCCTTGACCTTCGAGTGCCTGTCTCGATGTGGAGCACTTTCTCACAAGGCAGGCCTAACTTGTTCTATGCGAGAGGTGAAAGTTCGTTCGGATTCTGTACAAGTGACTCGAAAAGACACGCTTATTATCACAACGGCAACCAGACAAATAGGGAGGACCAGACAAATAAGGTGGAGAAAATGCACCGAAGAGAAAATCCGACCTGGATTGGCGTTTAAATGTTCCTAAGCTTACAAAATGCTAACACGAAACCGGATACAAATACTGTTCATTTGGCCCCCACTACTTTCTCCACATAGTGTTTGATTCTCATAAGCAATTGTGAAATGTTCCTATCTCAAGGTTTGACGGCAGCAAAGAGACAGTTTTCTGGTTGGTATGTAGTCTACAGATGTCGGCACCACTTGCCCGGACCTGGAGCGCTGTCCGCTGGACGCTCCAGAATTTTTCACAGAAGTGCGCTCTCGAGAAGGGTCGTATTTGCCCTTGTTGCCTTAGGTAAATTAGATGAACATATTCAATACCTTGTCGGCTTTTTCTGCTTCACGTCTGCATTATCCTCCTCCCCCCTCCCTCCTGCTCGACACGGATTTCAAGCTCAGGAAAGTTAGAGGAAGCGAGAGTGAGTTGAATGCGAATGGGATGGGGACGTGGAGGTCGTAACACATATGTTTTAGCTTGATAGTAGTCCGTGGTCACCTATACGGGTGGAGGAGCATTACTTCGCTGTCGCGGCATAGCAGTACGAGTTGACTGGGAGCTAAAGTCATTGCGCGCACCGTTGCCGCTGAGTGTATTGAGTTCTGTGCAAATGTGCGTACGTCAGCCACTTGCAGTGGCTTTTCACGGAGTGGGGATGGGGAGTGGGGAGTGAGACTGCCACACCGCAACCTAATGCGATGTTAAAAAGCCAACTCTCCTCGTGGTGGAGAACGATGAATAATTAAATGTTATGATTTACGCTTCCCCGCAGCTGTGAGACACTGGTGTTTCGAACTGCGGTGCCGGCCTACCACACGACGCGACAGCCGCGACGGCGCGGCGACTAAGATAGTCTTTAAAACCGTTTTCCCTCCTGGGACGGAACGATAGTTTTAGCTTCATTGGTGAAAAGGGTCTGGTCACGCAGTCCTGAGTCCTAATGGTCACCCATGCACTCTTTGAAGGAACTCGTTGAGCTGACAGCGATCCGCCAATGGTTCCTTTGCTTCGCTGGGTTCATGGCCTTGGGATTTTTCATGGTCGCAAGAGCCCACTGTTAGCGTAGTTTACTGAATAATGAACAAAAATGTGATGCTATGTTTTGAAGCGAAGGTACCCAGTCTCGTTAAAACTTTTATTAACTGACATTGTATTCTGGCATTTGCACAGCGAACTAGCTTTTGAAGTGAAGATATTATCATAGCGATTCATAGAATCAAAGGCGCCGACGAAGTTGGACGACCAGTGTCCGACCGTGCCTCTTCCCATACCAAGGCTTTAGCTCATTGAGGACTATACGCTCTCTGCGAGACTAGCCTGGTGACTCTGGACGTCTGCACTCTGAGCCTAAGCCTTGGTCAGGAGAAGGAAGGCGCAGACATGGCCGTGCCAACGACGACAGCCGATTCAATTTATTTTTCTGTGATCAAATGCGCATTTGCGCTCGGATATGTTGTAAATGGAATCCGTAAGTATTGTTGGCTACACACTCGTATTCTCCAGCATCTTGCATATGAGCTGGATCGATATCCAGATGAGAGGCAATCGAATGTTCACCGCTTTGATTGCGAATCTGAAAACATGGCTAATAATTAGGCAATTCGACCGGGGGAGGGGGATTCACAAAGGAAAAATCTTTCTCCATTCTCATACGTAGATTTGTATGACTAACCACTGAAAGAACAGGTCACGGTGATCGTGTGGGCGGGGCTAGGCCTATTAATGTGGACTCTTCATAGGCGTCGAGGCGGAGGTGGTGTAGTGACAAGTGGCGCGCTCACCGGGTTCGAATCCCGGGTCGACTCCCGCCCAGGCCAACCAAGCCTTCTACCCTCCGGGGACGGTAAATTGGTACCAGATTCGTCTGGGAGGATAAAACACTGACTTGTACATCGGCTGGCCACCGCAAGTCATTGTATAGGCCACATCGCATTCATAAG